CAGGATGTTCTCGTGTCCTGTATCCAGTAAGATGTTGAATCACAACCAGGTACAGGGTCAAAAAGAGGTCCAGATAAGAAGCCGGGTTATCTTTTGACTTTCTGCTCTACGACTGGTCCACTCAGCTTATAACCAGTCGAGTTTAACTGCATCTTCCCTTTCTGGTCATTGAGCTGCAGTATAGCGGACCTCAGGCCCAAGATCACAACTGACAAACGGTGCCAAAAAGCACAGCGAGGCCTGGCTTCTTTTTGGCAAGAACAAAACTTGATTGTTAAGTAATTAACTGCCTGACAGTACAAGTAATTAGTCTCTGCTGCTAACATTAAAAGCAAAATGCTTTAATGTAATTCAAAACATCCCCTTACAAAGTCAAATACAATTCATCTTTCACATTGTTTTAGTGAAAAGTCTATTCTTCTTCCTTGGGAAGAATTGTTTTACTTGAATTCACAGTAATATATTTTACAGTTTACTATTGATATTATTATTATATGATATGATTATTTACACACATTTTTCAGGTTATCATTATAATAAAATATACGCCCGCTTCACTCCTGTGTTATCAAACAATAATAATGTCAACAAATGTTGAACAGTACCCACACAGGCCCAGAAAATATTAATAATTGACATTTTTTTCAGATGTTTATGTATGTAATTTTGTAAGAATCAAGTTGGATGTTACGGCTGCCTCCAGAGAGCAAAATATACACAACCTCTCAATCTTGGAAACACCATTTAATGCTTAAATATAAACAATTGGCAAACAAAGGCTCCCTGGGGTCGGCACCACGAAGCAAGTTCAACTCTTCCTCTCGTTTAGTTACCTGGCTACACTGAGGCCAACATTAGTGATCCAGTATAAGTGTTATAACAAAGCTCGATATGAACGTTATCCATTTGCTCTGGGTTATAGTTTTGTGTCCACCTATGAGCTGTGAAGGAGTTGTTAATTACAAGCAGCATCACCATCATCATAACCATGTGTGAAGTGCATAATTGGATGAAAATAATTAAGATTAAACGTGATTCCTGCAGGTTCACAGGAATCGGTTGTAGTGACAGATAATCATATAAATAGAACAGAACAAGAAGCTGTAGAAACACTATAAATACATACTTACATACCAGACACATGTACTGAGTGTAATGAATATAAAGGAACCTTGTATCATTGTATTAGGTAATGTAGTAAAATGATTTTTGGACACGTGATGGACAGGATCACTTCTGTAAAGATCCCTCTTGATCCTAAGATTTACATTTTGAATTTGTACCTTTCAAACTTTAGACTAAAGAAGAATGAACGTACATTTACAGATTTGTGTTTCCTGCGAGCCAAATGGCTTATTGTTCTTTACTGGAAGAAAACAAATAGGCCAAGTATCAAAGAATGGGTCAATGAAATGTCAACTTACATATTGAGGAAACCTGGAAACCCTTTGTTTTATTCCTCTGAAGTGCAATAGTTAGAGGTACGCTAACACAAGGAAACCCTATACTTTATTATAACTGATACATGTAAGCATCACCTCTGTGTTAAGAATGGCAATGAGAGTACTAAAGTTTACACCTTTTTTCTAATGTTTTATGTATGTTTTATTTAAATTAATCCTTTTTTTAAATGTATTTTATTTAAGGGTCTGGGAGAGTGGGTTGGAGGCTGGGAGACATTGTTTGTCCTTGTCATTTGTTCTAATAAAAGAAAACTAACAAACATTGTTTACAAAAAAAAGGAGAAAAAAAACATGTAATGTAAGACCGTGTCTGCTACCAAACCAAAGAGGAGAGGGAAAGTAGTTAATACCTGATAAGGTCTATCTGACTGACATGATACATTAATAATCATAGAAGCTAATTAATTGAACTATTTCCAATTATCCTCACAAAGTCACTTCATGTCCTGCTGAGCTGAAATGATGGAATAATAGTGTAAAAGTATCGACACCATCAGGAATCCCCTCTGGGAGTTGAGGAATCTTTGTGCAATTAAAATGCAACTATAATGGTCATTATGTATTCAGTGTCGTAAACGATCCCTCCATTTGTTGGAAGTGTTTTGAACCTGCAAAACGATTCTACTAATCTATAGAGATATATATTTATTATTTGTGACTTTATTGTGAAGCCAATACTGATTTGATGTTATTGATCTGATCCTCTGAAGTTAACCTGCATAGAGCCACCGTGATCGAACCTGGTTAAAAATGAGCTTCACAACACTGGAAAACCGAGAGTTTACCGAGAGTT